CAGCTGGTTTTTTGTTTCTGTTTTTAGTTGCCTGGCTAATTTTTTTCTATTTTTAGTAGAGACGGGGTCTCGCTTTCGCTCAGGCTGGTCTCGAACTCCTGAGCTCAAGCAATCCACCTGCCTTGGCCTCCCAGACTGCTAGGATTACAGGCGTGAGGCACCGCGCCTCAGCTCTTTTCCTATTTTAAATCAAGTTTCACTTCTGTACCTAATTTTGCATTCCTTTTCTTAAATTGGGCTTCCTAAAATGTATAAGCTTTGGGGGCCCCATAAAATCTAACTCCTCTCCTGGTAATCTATTCACATAGCCACTTTCAAAAGATACCAAAGGGTATACAGTGGAATCTCCCTCCCCACCTACCCAGACCCCTTCCCAGATGTAACCAATATTACTCCTGAGAAGTAACAAATCATGTGTGTGACTTTTTTGGCATAGTCTATGCACGTACAAGTACATACATGTATTTCCCCCTCCTTCCCACTTATTATTTTTTATTTTTAAATAATTTCAAGCCAACAGAAAAATTATGAGGTGAGTATGAAGATATACTTCCCCCAAAACCATTAGAGAGTTACTTGCCAAAATATGTGCAAAATGACAACATATTTATTCATTACAACATTATTTGCAAGAGCAAAAGATTGGAAAACTACACATGTCTAATGTCCCCGGTTTCCACCCAACACCATAGGGTTTATTCTATTTTCTCTCTTTCTATATAACTCCCATCTCTGACAGTGGGAACGTGGCTCCCAGCACTGCTGCCAGCCCTTACAGATGTCACCCTCACCCAGCATGGGTGATCCACACGCCACTCTCCATGGGACACCTTCCTCACTTTGCTTGGGCTCCGACACCCTGCCTGGGCCATTCCCTGTGCAGACATCTCACCCCATTCAGGCTCTGACACTGTGCTGGGCCACTGTAGCCACCCCTCTCTTGAGGCCTCTTCTTATCCTAGGGCCAACAAAGCCCAACTCTACCTAATGGCCTTTGGAATAAATTATTCAGGAAGGAGGGGAGGGTGAAAGGGAGAGAGGAAAAAAAGAGGAAGAGAACAGGAAGAGTCTACGGCCATAACCCCCTGAATGTGCCCGATCTCATCTGATCTCCAAAGCTAAGCAAGGTCGGGCCTGGTTAGTACTTGGAGGGGAGAATGGGAAGAACCTCTCTACTTTTTTTACACTAATGATAACATATTATATTCATTGTCCTGCATCTTGTGTTCTTCATTCAATATACGTTAATGAGACAGCTCCATGTCAAAGACCTTCCTTATTCTTATTTATGGCACCACAGTATTTTTTATGGCATACATACACGAAATAGTTTATAGATGAGCTGTAGTTCTTTCTCCTATGGATGGATATCTATGTTTTGTCAATCTTTTGCTATTATAAATAATGTTTAATGAGTAACACAATTACTGCAACCCATGGCAACCTAATACATTGTAATTTTGCATACCTTAATGTACTTGTGAGATAAAGTCCTGAAGTGGGTCAAAGGGCACACAACTTTGTAATTTTGATAGATATTGGCAGATAGCCCTGTACCAGCAATGTATAAGAATACCTCTAACTTGTTCTTTACATGAAAGGGAAGTAAGAATTTCTGAGGCCAGGCACAGTGGCTCATGCCTGTAATCCTAGCACTTTGGGAGGCTGGGGTAGGAAGATCGTTTGAGGCTGGGAGTTCAAGACCAGCCTGAGCAAGAGTGAGACCCCATCTCTACATAAAATAGGAAAATTAGCTGGGTGTGGTGGCACATGTCTGTAGTCCCAGCTTCTTGGGAGCTTGAGGCAGGAGAATCCCTTGATCCCAGGAGTTTGAGGTTGTAGTGAGCTAGGCTGACATCACGGCACTCTAGGCTGGGTGGGTTATAGAGTGAGACCCTATCTCAAAAAAACAAAAACAAAACCAAACGAAAATAAAAGAATTTCTGTGTGTGTGTGTATTATAAAACCAAAACAAAAAACCAAACCAAACCAAAAAGCAAACACACAAAAATCCCAACCCAACCCAACCCAACCCCTCAAAAGAGATAGTAGCAGCTTCTTACTTGTTGCCTCTGAGTATAGGGTCTTCTCATCAACACTTTGAACATTAGCGGAAACAAAAAATTTCCTTCCTTCAACTTTATCAAGTTGGCTATTTATCACAACAACAGAACAAATAGGGATAGGTCTGCAGAGAAAAAGAAAAAGGAAAAAAATGAGTTTCAGAGTTATGTAACATTGAAAGATGATCAAGGGCATAACAAGGGTAGAAATTTATAATAGCTGATATCAGTGAGCATTGACTGCCCTGGGTTAACACATTCCTCAAGGCCCCAGGCACCAATACCCTCTCATGTCACTAGAAAATACCTAATAACAACAAATTGCTGGTAATGCCTTACTGTTCTAGGCCAGTGCTATTCAACAGAACTTTCTGTGCTGATGCAAATGTTCTGTCTCTGAGCTGTCCAATATGGTAG